ACTGGTTGTTGGCTTCTCATCCGTGATCAGAAAGACAATCAAAGGACATAGGAAATCCTCATGAGACACTCAGTCTTGTAAAATGAAGGGTGATTTTCTCCCTTCCCTCCTTATTTAAAACAGTAAGCATCACCACATAATTACAGTACATTTTCCATGCTTCTTAGGTCTAGTTCTTAAAAGGGCCCTTCCCAAGAGAGAAAGCTATTGTCATTAAGGTGCTGTCTTATGACAACCTCTTCCAGACTGAATTGTGTACTCACAGGTGAACTGCCACAACAAGGTGCCTGAAAGCACTTTCAGGAGAGTCTCCATCCTTGGCCTCCCAGAATATCCAGTGTGTCAGTCAGCCTCTGAATGGGCTTCCTTAGCAGGAGTTGCTTTGAACTCAGAATGAAGCCTATTGCAGTTTTTTCCAGGATATTGCAACTTTGGGGGCAACAAATCAGAGACACATCACAACAATTTAACTGCACAAAACTAAACGCGTCTGTCTAGAATACTTTTTAAACAGCTCTCCTCTGTGGCCAGACTGAGGATTGTTGATTAAAATGTGGATTGTGGCTTTTCTTGAGTATGTTTTCATCCAACATAGGTTTTTTTCTTGCTATAAGAAGGGCCTATCAATATACTGTGTTACAGAAAGAATTACTCCAGAATTAAGAGAAAAAAGAAGTATCAAGGGAAAATTTATTATATGTGTATAGATATATATATCCACACACACACACACACCTATACATATGTATAAATATGTGAACTCATAGTGCTCTTTCAAATGGTGACATTTCATTATACTATTTACTTGTGCAGATTTCTTTTAGTGTTCATCATTTTCTTCTAGATAATGTAATGTGCAAACTTCTTATAATGGCTTTTAATTATTTTCACAAAGTGGTTTCTGCTTGTTGCTTTAGTTTTATATTTACTGATATACATTTTGAGTTGTATGCTCTGGCCATTCTGAAGTAGCTTAATGTTATTCTCTATAAATATTGATTTCATGTCTTTGTACCTTTTGTTTATCTTTTTCTATAATACCCTTTCTCGGACTCCATTTTTGGCTAACTGTTTTACAGATCTTAACTTGGATACTACCTCCCATAGGCAGCTTTCCGTTACATTCAAGTTTCCAAGTTAAATGCCACTGTTAGGTGGTCATATTGTACTCTTTTCCTATGATAGCTTTTATTATACTATATTGTAATACACTGTGCAATATTACATTCTCCCTGAAGGTGGAAACAATGCCTTATTCTTCCCATTTGCATCTATTCTTTTCAAGTCCAAGACACATATTCGGTATCAAATGAATAACCTTATGCAGTGAAATCCCAAGTAAATAGAAAACATATTTGGTAATCTCACAAATATTATGAGAATTTATAAAACTGAGAATTAAGATACAACTACTTTGCAGTGGTGGTTTGAACATTTTATGACATATATAATTTAATCATAGCATAATTCTGGCTTTTAGTACTCAGATTCATTGTATTCTCTGTCGCCTTGTACATACTGTTTCTAGCTTTAAGATCACTTTCACCAGCTTCTCTGTCTTTCAACTTGATTGACTCCTACTAAATCTTAAGGTCTCAGCATAGGCAAGACATATTCCAGGCTGTCCCTGACTCATCACCAAGGCTAAGATGGGGTGGGGCTTTCCATATGCTTTCATACCACCCTTTGCTTTCCCAAGGTTGGCCCCATTTCACTTTATTCTGTCTGATTAGCTGCCTACATAACTAACTAGACTACAAATTTAGTGAAAGAAGATACTATGTATTTCTCCATAGCTCTTTATTCCCAGCATGTAACATGTATGCAGAACTCAGCAGGCACCCAATGAACAAATGCTAATTGATAAAATGAATAAAACTTGAGACCGATGTTAGCTGGAAATCATTGTCCTTGCATTACAAATGAATTCCCTGATATAAAATGTTAAGAAGTTGATTCACTTGCTCAAGAAGCCATAACACACTTATGGCTAGAACAATGCTAGAAAGTAGCTTTTTCCAATGCTGTTTCCCAAATATACTAGATAAGAAAATAATATAAATGAATAATTGTGGGAATCAATGAAATGTGAAAGCTGAAGCAGCATGAAGAGCTTGAACAAAAATGCAGGGATGAGATTGGACGTAGTATTCCTGTTTCTGGTATGACTCTATTGTTGCCTTAGAAGGTTAGAGACAGCATCAACATATTCCCTCCCCATTATGCAAGACATGAAATAGAGTAAATGTAACAGCAGTTGGAGTGAAAAATGTCCATTGTAACAGAACTTTATAATGGGTTTCAATAATTTATAGATCATGTTAAATATACCTGAAAATTTTAAAAGCTGATTTATTGTCTTAGGGTATTTGAAATAGTTTTGTTAAGAGCAGGGATATATCGTAACTGATTATTCACCTGAATTTTATATTTTTTGAAATTGAAATGAAATGATTCATCAAAGCTACATTTCTCTACACAGCAACAGCTGTCATATGCCTGCACTTTTGCTGGGACCTGTGGCTACAGCTTTGAATTTGGGAACAGGCTCTGGATGCCTGTGAGCAGTGAGTATCCGCAGCAGACTATTCACTCAGAGTGGCTGATGCTCTAGAGTGGGAGCCTGAGCTGTGCATGAAACGGCGTAAGTATGAAGAGTGATGCTTAATATTCCTTCCTGCTTTTCATTCTCAGCTACGTGCATTATAGAAAGGATCTTGGAGTCTTTCCTGCCTAAATCAATGTAAGCCGTAAAAAGAGTGGAAAAAATACTGCATGTGATATTGGTGCTCCCAGATATGGAAGGATAATAAATCTAATTCACATTGAGTTAGCTTTATATCCATGTTCAGAAATATAGAATTAAATGTGAGAGAATTGATCAACCTATAGACTTTACGTTATAGTTACACCAACCCCATGAGGATCCCTAGATGAACTAAGCTAAGCCAACCTATATATCACCCCTATTCTGATCAGAAATGCTTCAACATCCCTGAAATCACTGTTCCTGAAGTCACTGTTCACATAAAGCCATAAGTAATGAGGTTTACGGAGGCTTCTGCATGCTTCTTGGGATGTATTCTTAATGTCTGTATCTTCTCACTGTAAAGATCTCAGCTTCGGAAAATCAGTCTATGAGGAATAAGTTCTAATCATTTATCTACAAATATGATATAAAATCATAATTTCATTTTTTTCATTCTCTGAAAGTGATAATCACACTCTTCTCTAGGTCAATGATGAAGAAATATATGCAAGAATTTTTAAAGTTGCTATCTTTTCAAAAGCATGACCTGTTAATAGCTTCTGTAGGAAGGGCCTATCGTTGGTGGTTTGGGGCATAGGTGACTATGGACTCTATTTTCTCACAAAGTTAGTGATACTGAGCAAATCCCTGAACTCCCACAGCCTGTTTTCTCTACTAAAATATGGATTATTCTAATAGTTGTCTTAAATAATTATTGGGAGGATTAGTTAATGTAATACATGCAAAACGGGTGGAATAATAGAAGTTCAACATAATCTAGACATGATTACCATTATACAGCAGTGTACTCTAAGTGATAAAATTGTTTCTCATGGAGGTACAAGGTAACAATTCTGATACCACTATGCATGTTTAATGGAGTTGGACTATGATGTACCTGAATAGTGGGTAGTGATGAATAGTGGGTAGTGATGTACACAAATAGTGGGTAGCAAAAATTCTTCACTTGACCAAACTTTAGTCAGGCTTTTGAAGCTCCTCCTTAGCTTATCTGTGCACTTTCTTGTAAAATCTAGTTTTAACAAGAATCCTTCCAAGTCAGTTTAGCAAGAACCACACTCTCCCCTGCTGCCCCCGCCATCCTCCGCTTGATATCTGATTACACTCCATATCTAATTGGGTTACTCATCCTCTACCATCCCCCAGGTGATTGATGTCTGATCACCCTGACCTGTCTTCAGCCAGGATCCTGCTTGGTCGGTCTAGCCAGAATATCCCTTGCTTCTAATGTTTCTTCTTAGTAATTTCTCATCCACTGACCCCCAACCTGCCCCTTGGCTAGAAATTTCCACTTGGCTATGCTGTATTTGGAGTTGAATCCACTTCTTTTCCTTCACTGCAAAATCTTGTTGCAGTGGTCTCTATACCTGTCATGATGGTCCTAAGTAAATTCTGCCTCACCGTGTTTTAACAAGTATTACTGAATAACTGTTTTTTAACAGTGAGAGCCAGGCTGCATACCCTTGTGGAGGGAATTTGTGGATAAGCAAGAAGGGGAGAATTCTAGTGTGATCTGCAAATGATTTAGCATTGGAGACATTGCTAAGAACTAATGTTTAACTTAAAATAGATACAGGTGGTTATGCTACATATAGAAATATTTCTAGATATGCAGATATACACAGGTTAATATTCACACATGCAATTATTTGCTTAGAAATGCCTGTAAGCTGAGAAAGCCTAAAAGAAACGACATCTCAGGAAACGTTATTCACTGGAAGAACCTGTAGTAGGATCTTAGTTTTCCCATTCCAAACACACATTCTTGCGCCCTAGGATACAAGGGAGACAGGGCACCCTCATTCCAGAAGCTAGCAGAAACAAAGCATCACCAGCGATTTATCTTTAGCTGAATCAGCAACGTCTTTCTGAAAACAGAAAAGGAGAGTGGTAGCCGGACACGGTGGATCACGGCTGTAATCCCAGCACTTTGGGAGGCCGAGGCGGGCGGATTGCCTGAGCTCAGGAGTTTGCTACCATCCTGGCCCACACGGTGAAACCCCATCTGTACTAAAATACAAAAAAGAAATAACCAGGCGTCGTGGCATGCGCTTCTTGTTCCAGCTACTTGGGAGGCTGAGGAAAGAGGATTGCTTGAACCCACGAGGCGGAGGTTGCAGTGAGTGGAGATCGTGCCACTGCTCTCCAGCCTGGGTGACAGAGAGAGACTCTATATCAAAACAAACAAACAAAAAATGGAGAGTGGTTAGACTCTTAGACACTCTAAAGCTAAGGTAACTTTCTTGTCTGTAAGGCTTGTCATGTATCAGTCTTTCTTTAAGCTCAACTTGCCTCACCGACTTCAAAGCATGATCTCTCATACTGCCATGTGTAAATGAAGGCGAGTCTGTGTGCCTCCCAGTTTGAGACCCCAAAGCAGGTTTGAGTACGGGCTGCAGGTGCCTGCAGAGCACTGTGCGCTTGCTGCACAGAGGTACACTGCAGAGTCTCCAGGCTGGGAGGGCGCAATGTGCAGAGAGAGGCGCTTGGCACTTTTGTTTAAGAAGACTGTGAATCTTCCATCTTTATTTTGATTCGTAACTGAACTTATAGATATCACGATTGCAGGACCTTCAGCAGGATATTTTTTGTACCACAGGAAATAATCAAACAGGTTGTTAGTATAGTCACAATTCAGAATAGAAAGTTCTCCTTCCTGGACACTCAGGAATGGTGTATTTTGCTTAACTTGCTGGTCATCATTCTTCTGTTGACTATTTACCCCTGTTTGGAAAGAGAGTAACAGATTTTCAGTTTTATTCTTAATGTCCCCGCAGGAAACCATCATGATCCAGAAAACAAACAAAACTTCTCCAATTATCTCCCAGCCTTCCAGTGTTCCTTATAGCTTTTCCTACTATATTCAAACCTCCCATGCACAACTCACAGTCTGTCTGAAGCCACAGAATCAGCAATGATGCCCCCAGGAGCATGCCCATCCCTCCGCGGGAGATGGAGATTGTTTTGTCTCCTGCCCAGAAAGCTGCAAATCTGACTTCAACCTTCTGTGCTTTATTCATGTCCTTTCACAGAACCTTCATTTCAGATATGAACAACCCTGTTTGTAACGAAAGTTATTTATCTTTATGAAAGGAAGCACTGCCCCCTTTAGTTCAAATGTAGAACATTTCTGTAAATGTGTTTCTGTATTTCCTAAAGATGATTTTATAACACCTACTCTGTAAAAAGTTAAAAAATAAGACATGGAAAGAGAAGAAAAAGTTTTCCGAGAACACGAGCGCACACACACACATACACACACACACACACACACACACACACACACACACAGAGCAATAGTAGAAAATGATACCTGGAAATTAGAGAATTACATAAGGTCAAATGATTGGCACCTTGTCAACTGGCATACTAAAGCAGACATCTCGTTTAAAAACATTAATAAGGACTGATACTTATTGGGGACACACATGGGTATGATATTTTATTTAATACAATGATTATTAATTTAGAGCACAGAGAAGTTTTGTAGCTTAGTCTTTAATGTAATGCAATTCTAATATGGTCTTCAAATGTATCCATATTTTCTAAATAAATAGCACAAAACATATTTAAATTCTGGGTACCTCTCTTAAAAACACAAATCAGCACAACAAAATTTATCTTCTGTATTAGATCACCTTCAGATCTGAAATTAGGTCTTTTGGAACTTGAATGAGATCATTCAGTGTGTTCTGTATTTTAAAATGAGGAAAACAGTGACTTAATCCTGTAAAGTCGATAGACAATATACATGGCAGTTACTTGAAAATGCCAAAAAGGCAACATAGCTGCTTACCTTCACTCTTGGTCCACAGGTAGTGTATTTCTCTATGGTTTACTATGATGGAGGAAGGAAGAAGAATCAATTGTACTTTTAATGCTGAATTAGTAGGGTAACTAGTGATTTCAACTAAGATTAAATTCCAAAATATTTTTTGAAATTATTTTTAACAAAGACAAATAACATAATAAAATAATGTTTGATGCATATTTTATTGTGGTAATAAACATTTTGAAATTTCACTTGAAGAATAATGAAATGAATATTCAGAAAAATTAAAATGCCTGTATTAAAAGTATATTAAGTCCATTAATATATTAAGTCTGGCTAGGCACCATGACTCATGCCTATAATCCCAGCACTTTGAGGGGCCAAAGGGGATGGATCACCTGAGTTCAGGAGTTCAAGACCAGCCTGGCCAACATGGCAAAACCCCATCTCTACCAAAAATATTAAATTAGCCAGGCGTGCTGGCGCCTGCCTGCAATCCCAGCTGCTTGGGAGGCTGAGGCAGGAGAATCGCTTGAACCTGGGAGGCGGAGGTTGAAGTGAGCTGAGATTGTGCCATTGCACTCCAGCTTGGGCAACAAGAGTGAAACTCCATACACATACACACTCACACACACATATACATGTATATATATATATACACACACATATATATATTCTATTAATATATATATTCTGTATATATTCTATATATATATATTCTATTAAAAGTAATTGTCTGATTCAGGAGAAGCTGATAAATTGTCTATGTTGCATATTATATACTTTAAACCTGTATGATTCGTACTTTCTAGTGAAGAAATTTTCACTGATTTATTTATGTATTTTTATATCAATCAACATTAATTTAGTTTTTATGCAAAGCTGGCACTGTGCTTGGCTTAGAATCTAAATATGGTTATGGAACAATCTTCATTCATAAATACCTGATAGTCTGAAGAGAAAGACAAATGTGTAACACATACTTATGACATAGCACGAGACATGAGGGTTTTATGAGGAAAACATAATGGTGATCCATTAGTTCTGCTGAGGAGGTTAGCAGGGTGGAGTCAGGGAAGACCTCACAAAGGTTGTGCTCTTTAGTGGGGCCTTAAGAGATAAAGGAAGATTGACGAGTTGGCTTCTTAGGAAAAGGGGTTTCCAGACAAAGGTATCTGCAATTTTAAAGGCACACAAATTATAGCCAGGAGAGCTCAGCAAATGCACTCAGTTCATTATAGCTGGATTTCACTATCTATGTGCAGGAAATTTATGACTTGGTATTAGGAAGGGTGGTCACATGCAAAACATGAGAATCCATGCATGAATCATGTAGAAGGCTGATTTTCCAGGTCCAAGGGGCCTAGCAGACTGTAATACTCTCTCTTTTGCTGTCTCTGATACACACACATACACACACACACACACACACACACACACACACATCTTTTAGGCAACAAAAGTACAAAATACACAATGCACACATGTACCACAAGCCCCATGTTGAATCATTGGACATGAGTGACTCTTTGTCTTGCTACAGAAAACTGTTTTATTTGGGAGTGGTTTTGGTGCAAGTTTTTTCAGCAAGCTTTGAGACTGAATGTGGCTTATTGGTGGCTCACAATTTAGTTCACTAGGCACCCTGGACCTGAGGTGATTCTGCTCCTCCTGGGATATCTATGCTGGAACCAGGAGAGGTTCCCACACTGAAAACTGTGTCATTAAAGTGATTCTAAATCATAACATAGAACAATTAGAATAAAGTAGAACTTTTTTCTACTGAGAGTGGTGAACATTACAAGAACCGATGATGGGTCAGCCACACAAGAGCAGGAGCTTGCATTCTGAAGGTGGAAAAAGATTCCAAGTGTTTTGAGCTTATGAGAGAGCAGAAGATAAGCCTGTCAATTTACTAAATGCTGTGCTCCATCAGACACCTTCCATATTAATGCAAAGAGTGGCTGTCATTGCTCAAAGCACATTATAAAAGTCACATTGACACTTGTGTTCCCAGGGAAGTAACCGCTCTAAAGAGCCTGAACCTTGGCCTTATTCCGTTTTTATGACAAGCCCCTTGTGGATTCTGATTCTGCAAGGGGCTTGTCATAAAACGGCATCAGCAGAACACAGCTGTTCTGCACAGGAAATTAGTTGGGGGAGTGGGTGGAGATACTTGTCATAGCATATCCACACTGACATTTGGATAGACCGAACTGAGTCACCAGATGTGTTTAGAGAAGTCTGTCTTCCCTAATAAAGACTACTCAGTTATACTACCAGGTATTTCTGAAACATGGGAGTGGTGTTATTCCTTTGATATCTTTACTATAACAACCCAGAATTAGATTGACATGTTAAATTATTCATAAAGTTATAAGTAATTTCTTCCTCATGATAATTTTTTTGATTAAAAATAATTCCTACCTCTTCACATAGTGATAAATTTGATTCTTTATACCCAGTGTTCTGTGGAAATGCATGAGACCATGGACTGCATCCCATTTTCCCTTTCTTCTTTCCCTTGCAATTCACATTGCCACATGCATTCTTTTAAGGTCTCCTCTTTTTCTGGTAAGACTAGACTTCTGATTGTTCTTTCTCCCAATAGGTATCTGGATACACATTTTTTAAAGACAGAAAAACTTTCCATTGTATTAATTTATATTTGCCTAGTGCATCAATCAGGGTACAGTCAAGTGCAGGAAAGTCACCATGAGTTGTATGGGATAGGGGCTTAATTATAGGAATTTGGCTTTATGTGATTGTGAAAGGAGACAGGGAAGTGAAGGTTTACAGACTGTGGGAAGGCCAGAGAAGGAAACCCTAACGAGTCAGTCTGAGAAACCAAGCATTTGCAGCTGCTGAAGTGTGATTTGAAGGGAAAGTTCAAGGAGAAGTCTAAGGAAGCTTTTGCCTTTGTGTGGTTACCATCTCCATTCACCTATTGCCAGGCATCTGAAGGTGACTGGTCAACAGGAAGGCATACTAGACATGGAGTGTAACAGTGAGGACAAGCTGGAACCACTGGGCATTTCCGTGTCTATTTGTCACATATGACAAATGACTGCTTCAGAGAGCAGTGGCTACTGTTTCACTTTTGCCTTCCATATCTCACACACATTTCTCTTTGGCCAATTTTATCCTGCTACCATACAAAGAAGAAAACTCTGGGAAACTTGGTTCTCTGTTTATTTATTTATTTATTTGTCACTTTTTTATTGCATTTTAGGTTTCGGGGTACATGTGAAGAACATGCAAGATTGTTGCATAGGTACACACATGGCAGTGTGATTTGCTGCCTTCCTCCCCTTCACCTATATCTGGCATTTCTCCCCATGCTATCTCTCCCCAACTCCCCACCCCCCTGCTGTCCCTCCCCTATTTTCCCCTGAAAGACCCTAGTGTGTGATGCTCCCCTTCCTGTGACCATGTGTTCTCATTGTTCAACACCTGCCTATGAGTGAGAACATGTGGTGTTTGATTTTCTGTTCTTGTGTCAGTTTGCTGAGAATGATGGTTTCCAGGTTCATCCATGTCCCTACAAAGGACGCGAACTCATCGTTTTTTATGGCTGCATAATATTCCACAGTGTATACATGCCACATTTTCCCTGTCCAGTCTATCATTGATGGGCATTTGGGTTGGTTCCAGGCCTTTGCTATTGTAAACAGTGCTGCAATGAACATTCGTGTGCATGTGTCCTTATAGTAGAACAATTTATAATCCTTTGGATATATACCCAGTGATGGGATTGCTGGGTCAAATGGTTCTCTGTTTAATCCAGTACAGACCACCATTGTGTACCTCCTTATAAACTTTCCATTATGTCATACCTCATTTGATCATATTTAACTTCCATATAAGACAATAGTAAAACAATTATTCTGCCTAATATGATGCAATTATCTTCCATACAATTGAAAGCATGCTAACCTTTTCTCCAAAAGAAAATGCAAGGACCCTTGTGTCACTTTATACGTCTTTAAATAAAAGTTTATTCTTTTTCTAGTCAGTCATACTTCTCCATTGATAACCTGTAAGTAAAAACATGTACTATTGTGGAGAGTAGAATAATAAAAGAAATAAAAAGAATGGGTTATAATCCCCCTCCCAACACACACACAGATATCAAAGTAAGGAACATGTACCCATAAGTACTTCAGCTCTTGTTTCTGTCACTGGTCATGAGGTTGTAGCTGGGATGCACAATTTCATTCTTCTGCTTTCATTCATTATTGTTTTTTGCCCTCAGCAAGTATATTCCCTTGTCTGGTGGGATGAAGACCTCAAGATCTATGTCTTTAGCAGTCCTGCCTATATTGAGTTGCTGTAGTTTTCCATAAAATTTTATCATTCATGGTGGGATTAAGAGTTTCCACAGACACACTCTTCTTTACACCACTGTATTGTAGCAAACCATTTCTCCATAAAAGGCAGCTTCAATCATCTCAGCCAGTAGAATAACCCCCATCTTTGC